CACCGTCTGTTGATGTCTGTCTGTTTGTCTGTTTCCCTGTCTTGTGTTTTTTGTCTGTTTTTACGCAAACATATCATAAAGTAACCTAACCTAAGCCAACCTTATCTAACTAGACGTCGATTAACTTAACCTAGCCTAATCTAACTTAAATAGATCTAACCAAACCCTACCTGACCTAACCTAACCTGGCTTGACCTAACCTAGCATAACTTAACCTAACCTAGCATAACCTAGCATAACCTAGCACAACCCAACCTAAACTAACCTGCCCTAGCTTGACCTAAACTAATAACCTAACCTAAGCCAACCCAGCCAAACTTAACCTGACCTAGCTTGATTTAACCCAACGTTACCAAACCTGGCTTAGCTTGACCTAACTGTCACGTAACTCATTCACTAATCACAGGTCAGGTAAGGCACAAGAGGCCTGTTGATTAGCCAATTAGAGCCGCCCAAAGCCTTAAACGTATGGAAGTTACCTGAGAGAGGCAAGAATTATCCTCAAGTCTTATAAAGTATCATGAAATTTTGTCCTCTCAAGTTTTATAGAAAATTCATTATGTGTTGTGTTTTATAAGTACCTTGAAGTCTAATAAAAGTTTCAGTATAAGTTTCGTTATAAGTCTATTAAACACAGATCTTAATAAAATGCTATAAAACTTTAGGGAAATTCTATAAATATTTAGGAGAATTTTATGAGACTTTAGGAAAATTATATAAAGATTTAGGGAAATTTTATGAGACTTTAAGAAAATTCGATAAGTCTTTCTGAAAGTTCTATGCAACTAGGGCAAATATATAAGACTTTAGGGATATTCTATAAGGGGAGAGGCATACCATTTAGGTAAGTTATGTACAAATACATACACATTTTCTGCCACCCACGACCCATCACCCCCCAGGGTATAGTGCTGTCACCTGTGGTATTTATGACACGCCTCACTCAGCCTCTATCACCACGAGATTGAACTGTTGTAGGATAAGATAGTAGTGGGATAGTAAGGATGCTTTCACCTTCAAGGATTCCAATATCATCTTCAAGGAGTGCTATATCAACCAGCAGGAGTCCTATATCTTAACAAGGAGTCCTATTTCTCAGTAAGCAAGCGTCCTATATTAAGAAGGAATCCTGTATCTTAAAAATAAGGACCCTTACATCTCAACAATGAATCCTATTTCTTAGCAAACAGGAGTCCTATATCTCAACAAGGAGTCCTGTCTCATCCTTAAAATACGAAGGAGTGTAGAGGCATCGCAGGAGTGGGTGAAGGATAAATAATGTATCTTTACCTGTGTTTATGTTATGCAAATTTTCACCCTTTTCGGTTTAACTGGTAATGATATTTTTGCTAAAAGTTACCTTGACCTTTGACCTACTGACCTGAAAATCAATAGACACCTTCCTTGGGTCATAGGAAAAACGTGTACAAAGTTTTGATAAGATCCATCAATTACGTCAGGAGATATCACACGGACAGACAGACATATATACTAACAGACAAAACAAATACTATATACCACGGTAGAAATACACTAAAGGGGCATAAAAACAAAGATATCTAAGGGTTTTGATCACCTTTAAGTGTATTTTAAGCATATAATATACTTCTATAAATACATTATTATTTCTCTAAAAACAAACAAAAATATTTCCTCATTTAAAATCGACCGAAGAGTCTTGGTATAAGTTACGGTGTTTACTCTATGATTAAGTCAAGTCCGGGCAGTCATTATTTCTCGGCGTTTTGAGGTGGTTGGGGTAAGTGGTCCCCCATCCCCCAACCCCCCATCATCCCCTACCCCCTCGTTCTTATAGACCCTAGTCCTAATGGGCCCCTAATCCATAAGGTTATATAAGGACCATAAGAACTGCGGCCGATTATTATTTTTGTTATTGTTATTATTATTATTATTATTATTATTATTATTATTATTATTATTATTATTATTATTATTATTATTATTATTATTATTATTAATTAAATTAAAAAAAGTAATAACAGCAACCTTTTTGAGGATTATTACCTGACACTAATTATTACCTGAATATAATTAACACCTGATATTAATTACATTCACATACCTTCGATTCTGGCAATGGAATAAATGACAGTATTTTTCGATATATCGCAAAGTTTAATTAATTTCGTTGCGGTTTATTCGTGGACAAAGTTTACTTACGTAGTTTGTTGAGTAATGTAATTATGTTTACCTGTGTGGGTGAGGCTAATTGTTGTGAGGTAAATATATGTTAAATACAGGTAAAGGTGAGCAGTAATGTGTGAAGTGATGATGATGAAGGGAATAATAATAATAATAATAATAATAATAATAATAATAATAATAATAATAATAATAATAATAATAATAATAATAATAATAATAATAATAATAATAATAATAATAATAATAATAATAATAATAATAATAATAATAATAATAGGTTAATTGTTACCTGCATAAATTTGTATCACCTGTTATTTTCTTTCTTTCTCTACAGGTAAGAGTCAGCCAATCACCTGGAACCAATATACACGCGTACACTCGGCAGCTGGACTTCCACGGACGTCTCAATTATTACCCAAATCCAAGGCTTGTTGGATATGGTAGACTTTTCTGTTGGACTTTCTCGAGCTAGTTCATGGCAGACATCCTACTAGGTCATGGCAGACACCCTACTAGGTCATGAACCCCTGGTCAGACCAAGTCTGGCAGACACCTACTAGGTCATGGCAGACACCCTACTAGGTCAGGGCAGACACCCTACTAGGTCATGGCAGACACCCTACCAGGTCATGGCAGACAGGCAGGGAGTGGGCGGGGCGGATATCAAGAGCCAGACTGTATTGTGAGTTAAAGGCGAATCTTAAAGGGCGATTTCCGATGTGGTGGTGGTAGTAGTGGTGATGGTGGTGGTGATAGTGGTGGTGGTGATAGTGGTGGTGGTGATAGTGGTGGTGGTGGTGATAGTGTTGGTGTTGTTGTTGTTGTTGTTGTTGTTGTTTCATATCCAGGAATTTAAAAATAACACTCCCAGATCATATGAGGACCAGAACTTCTAACACACACACACACACACACACACACACACACACAACACACAAGTGATTCTTGGGTATTGAAGATCTATAATGTTATTGTGTACAGGAGGTTCCATCTATCACCTGGAGAGAGAGAGAGAGAGGAAAGGTCAGCGAAGACATCAACAAAGGCTGTCTAGATACACAGAACGTCCAGGTAAAATACACCTGAGACCTTCAGAACTAATTAAGACGCTTAATGAGGAGACAAGATACCTGAAGGTACACTGGGGTAGGATCCTCTCTCTCTCTCTCCTTCCCACATGGTAGCATATCTTATAAACCTTGTTCTCTCATCTCACCTCTCACCTCTCACCTCTCCCTCTTATCGTGTATATTACAGCAGTGGTCAAGGGCGAAGAAAAGAAATGGAAGGAATTCTGATAAAGTGGAAGAAGGAATAATATAATGATAGTTTAAGGAGGAAGAGGAAGGCTTGGTGATAGTAGTAATTGATGATGATGATGATGATGATGATGATGATGATGATGATGATGATGATGATGATGATAAGGTGAAACAAATAATGGATATACTTATGAAATATACTTAATAATAGTGTAGATGGTCGTGTAGTAGTGTAGTAGTAGTAGTAAATATAGTGTAAATAGTAGTGTTGTGGAGTAGTGTAGATGATAATGTAGTCACGCATCCCCCCTAAAAATATCATCCCTCATTATACAACAATTACTACTACTACTACTACTACTACTACTACTACTACTACTACTAATAATAATAATAATAATAATAATAATAACCTACATTTATCACGTTATTCGTCATCGTTGACTGGAAGAAGGTAATTGTCTGGTCATTCTTCTTCCTTCATTTTCAACTCTGGAAATCGTGCAAGGCGTCCAGAAAGAGAGAGAGAGAGAGAGAGAGAGAGAGAGAGAGAAGAGAGAGAGAAGAGAGAGAGAGAGAGACAGAGAGAGAGACAGACAGATTGAAAGGAAGATAGGTAGAGAGAGAAGAATAAAAGAAGAAAGAAAGAAAGAAAGAAAGAAAGAAAGAAAGAAAGAAAGAAAATGCCTCACGTGGTTCATATCCTCGCCACCCTCCACCATACGTCAGGATTATTACTAATTAATGTTTTTGGGTTTAATAAGGAAGTCCGCTGCTCATATCAAGTATTAGAGGCGCTCATTATGGCAATAAGAGGTGAGATATTACCTGAGGGGGATTTCCGGTCTTATAGCCTTCCCTCCACCTCCTCCTACCCTCCATACCCCTCCACTACCCTCATGCCCTCCACTACCTCCATACCCCTTCATCACACTCCACCTCCCTCCACTACCCTCCATGCCCTCCACTACCCTCCATACCTCCACTACCCTCCATGCCCTCCACCCTCATGCCTCCACTACCCTCATACCCCTTCACCACCTCCACCTCCCTCCACTACCCTCCTCCACCCTCCAACCCCTCCACACCCTCCACCTTTCTCCATCATCCTCCCCACGCCTCTACACGCCAATCACGCCCTCCACCTCCCTCCACCTCCCTCCTTACCTCACCCGTGTTTACCTCTCTCTCTCTTTCTCTCTCTAATTTCTTTATGCTTTTTTCCTTGACATACATACACACATACATACATACATACATACATACATACATACATACATACATACATACATACATACATACATACATACATACATTTATTTTGGGAGATTAAAACGGAGGAAAGTTTCCCCTTTTAATTTTAATATAAACTTTCAGACTCTACCTGTGACTACTAGAGAGAGAGAGAGAGAGAGAGAGAGAGAGAGAGAGAGAGAGAGGTGTAGATATAGTGTTCAGACATAGATAGATAGATAGATAGATAGATAGAATAGGTTAGGTTTGGTCAGGTTAGGTTCGGTTAAATCAATGTTGTTTTGAAAATAGTAAATTCCAAAGACCTTCATCTAATCAAAACATGGACCAGGTAAAATGGCCCTAAGGATCATTATTAAGGATCTATTTTTTTGTAATGACTAAGAGAGGTGTAGTTGTGCTCATTAAGCCGGACAGGTGTATAAGTACAGGTGAGCCAGACCGTGAAACTACTTTACAATTATGAAATATTTAGTAGTGAGGATTTATTACGTGTGTGTGTGTGTGTGTGTGTGTGTGTGTGTGTGTGTGTGTGTGTGTGTGTGTGTGTGTGTGTGAGGCAGAAAATGAGGAGAGGTGTGAGAGAAGAATTTATACAGAGTTGAAAATGAGGAAAACTTTGATTGAACTTGGTTAATGGAAATGATAGAGAGAGAGAGAGAGAGAGAGAGAGAGAGAGAGAGAGAGAGAGAGAGAGAGAGTCAATCAGAGTATAAACCATATATGTGTTTGTTCTTGTGAAGAGGTTAAAGTGTTTATCTGTCTGTCTGTATGTATGTCTGTGTGCATAAACAAACAAACACACACACACGCCGGTAGACAGAAAGACACACACACACACCGGTGAAGAAAGACACACACACACGCCAGTAGACAGAGACACACACACACACGTAGACAGAAGGACACACACACACAGTAGACAGAAAGACACACACACACAGAGTAGACGAGCCACACACGCCGGTAGACACACACACACACGCCGGTAGACAGAAAGACACACACACACGCCGGTAGACAGAAAGACACACACACTGGTAGACAGAAAGACACACACACGCCGGTAGACAGAGAGACACACACACACGCCGGTAGACAGAAGACACACACACACGCCGGTAGACAGAAGACACACACACACGCCGGTAGACAGAAAGACACACACACACACGCCGGTAGACAGAAAGACACACACACGCCGGTAGACAGAAGACACACACACACGCCGGTAGACAGAGAGACACACACACAGTAGACAGAAAGACACACACACGCCATTGAGCAAGAAAGACACACACACACGCTGGTAGACAGAAAGAACACACACACACGCCGGTAGACAGAAAGACACACACGCCGGTGACAGAAAGACACACACACGCTGGTAGACAGAAAGACACACACACATGGTAGACAGAAAAGACACACACACACGCCGGTAGACGAAAGACACACACAATTAGACAGAAAGACACACACACGCCGGTAGACAGAGACACACACACACGCCGGTAGACAGAAAGACACACACACGCTGGTAGACAGAAAGACACACACACACGCCGGTAGACAGAAAGAACACACACGCCGGAGCAGAAAGACACACACGCCGGTAGACAGAAAGACACACACGCCGGTAGACAGAAGACACACACGCCGGTAGACAGAAGAGACACACACACACGCCGGTGAACAGAAAGACACACACACGCCGGTAGACAGAGACACACACACACACCGGTAGACAGAACACACACACGCCGGTAGACAGAAAGACACACACACACGCTGGTAGACAGAAAGACACACACACACGCGGTAGACAGAAGGAGCACACACACGCCGGTAGACAGAAAGACACACACACACGCCGGTAGACAGAAAGACACACATGGTAGACAGAGACACACACGCCGGTAGACAGAAGACACACACATGGTAGACAGAAAGACACACACACGCCGGTAGACAGAAGACACACACACACGCCGGTAGACAGAAAGACACACGCCGGTGACGAAGGACACACACACGCCGGTGACAGAAAGACACACACACGCCGGTGGACAGAAGAGCACACACACACGCCGGTAGACAGAAAGACACACACACGCCGGTGACAGAAAGACACACACACGCTGGTGAGACAGAACACACACACGCCGGTAGACAGAAAGACACACACACACGCCGGTAGACAGAAAGACACACACACACGCCGGTAGACAGAAAGACACACACACGCCGGTGAACAGAAGACACACACACACGCTGGTGAACAGAGAGCACACACCCGGTAGACAGAAAGACACACACACGCCGGTAGACAGAAAGACACACACCGCCGGTAGACAGAAAGCACACACACACACGCCGGTAGACAGAAAGACACACACGCCGGTAGACAGAAAGACACACACGGTGAACAGAACACACACACACACGCCGGTAGACAGAAAGACACACACGCCGGTAGACAGAAAGACACACGCCGGTGAACAGAGACACACACACGCCGGTAGACAGAAAGACACACACACGCCGGTAGACAGAAGACACACACACACACGCCGGTAGACAGAAAGACACACACACGCCGGTGAACAGAAAGACACACACACACGCCGGTAGACAGAAAACACACACACGCCGGTAGACAGAGACACACACACACGCCGGTGAACAGAAGACACACACACGCCGGTAGACAGAAGAACACACACACACGCCGTGAACACACACACACGCCGGTAGACAGAAGACACACACACACGCCGGTAGACAGAAGAACCACACACACGCCGGTAGACAGAAAGACACACACACACACGGTGACAGAAAGACACACACGCCGGTAGACAGAAGACACACACGCCGGTAGACA